CCGGTCACTGTAATTTAATTTAGACATTTCAGAATTTTCTCTTTCTCATGCTATATTCCACTTATTCCAACAACCATTTTTAGAACTTCTAAGGAGCCTTCTGAGAATCGTTTTCTTTCTGGTTGTTTCCGTTTTCCCAGAGGATGAGAAGGGAGGGGAGGAGGCTATGGTTTCTGGCTGCCCTTGCCTTTTGGTCCCCAGACGGAAATCAGGACAGGCAGCATCTCAGGTGCCACAGAGACCTCTTGTAATGCTCATTTTGACCAAGAAGTATGACTGCCAAGAGTTTGGTTTGGGTCAATCACATTCATAATGCTGGGTGGCTAGACAGGCTTAGAAAAATATGTAATTGGAGAGAACAAAGGGGGAAGGATTTTTTCCTCTTACCTCTTGAAAGAATATAACACTTCCTTTTTAAAATCTATAAACTGAGTTGTATGTTTATTTTGAAAGAATTTTGCTCTGACCTTTTAAGTTGGTAAGACATTAAATTATTCATCGTGTTATTTTTCTATCAGATGGTTTTGTGGTTTATTGATAATGTCTAAATTTCAGGGCTGGTGACAGCTCATTCTACAAAACTAATTGAAAGTATTGGCATTTCCTCAATTAGACAGTGGTTAAGTACATAAAAAAGAGAGGTTTGTTATGGAGTTGCTGTCTGAGCTCCAACAGAACAAACTGAGAACATTGCCAGCCACCCACTTCAAAACTCGGTGCAAGCAAGCGAAATAATGGCTTTGGAGGCTGTTTATTCCATTTTCCTGATAACCAGCCAGTCACTGTGGTCTTCAGGGAGTCAGCACTGAAAGGCTATGCATGCGATGAATCTAAAACCCCCATAAAATAGAGTCAGTAGTCAAAGCTTTAGGGACATAGGCTGAATGTCCTTAAGATATTCTCTCTACATGTGGTTTGAAGCATCATTTGCCAAGGGAATGAATGTGTGTTTCCTTAAGTGATCTACAATACAAGGAATAATTTCCTTCTCTTATTTATAAAACGATCCAGGTGGCCGAAGAACATCATTCTTTGGCCCTACAGAGGAAATGCCTGCTGAGCTGGTTCCGTTGCAGTCAGGAGAGCCTGGCTAGGAAGACGGCCTGGGCCGATCAATGTTATTCCCAAACGTTGCTTAGGAGAGTCCTCCGGAGCTGGCAGCGGGTAAGGCACAGGAAGGGAGCTTTGAATACGTCTCTCCTTAATCCGTGTAAGAAAATTAGATGCAATCCAGAATGTCCAGTCATTGTTTTTTCAAGAACACTATAAAATAGTCAATCTAATGCATTGCTTAGAAATGAATGTGGAAATGTCAAATTAACTTTTTGTTAATATAAACTCTTAAGCCTATTTCTTTTCACACTGTTCATCTCTATAAATTGTGTGTCATTATATCAACTTTTGATTTTATACTTGTTTCTTATCCCATAATTGCTCAAGTGATTTTACTAGAAATATACCCCCTTGATATTGTTACTGTTTCCCCCCTCTGGTTCCATTATCTCCTTCAGACATTACAGAGGCTGTTTGCTTGGCTGCCACATTTTCTCTTTATGCCTCCAGTGTCCTTTGTTACTTTGTCTTGTGTTTGTTTCTATTCTTTCTCTTTTGTACTGTTTATTTGCTCTAATTCTTTGTCTGTGACATTATTTGACTCATTTCTGTTCCTTTCCTCATCCCCAGTACCTGACTGACCTGGAGGAAGAAGTACAAACACTGTGTATGCATTTTCTTCAAAAGAAGATTTGCAGGGCCTGGCTTAACATGGTCAGGGAGGCCCGGATCGATTCTCAGAGCAAGCACAAGATTGCCGTGGAGCACAGTGACAGGTGAGGGTCTGATCTCTGAGGAAAGTCACTCTTTGACTGCATAATTGCCCTGCAATATATTCTGTACCTGGAACATGTCCAGAAAGAGGAAGTGGGGGCTAGGAGAGCTGGGCATTCAGCGATACCAGCAGAGGTGTTCCAGCTCACCCACTGACTCGGTGATGAAAACAAGATAGTAACCACCCCCCTGGGACTCCAGGGCCCCGTCTTTAAAATGAGGAGGGTGCCCGTCTTCTCTGCTTCACAGGGACTGGCAGGAGAATAAAATTATGAGAAGTACATGAACACACTTAAGCAAATGTATGTATTCTTTATGTCACATAAGTTTGTAAGTTCAATTTTTTAACATTATTGTGAAATATAACACTAATACAGAAAAATGCTTAAGTCATGCAAGTCCAGCTTAAAGAATTACTATAAAGGGGACATCCATGTCATCACCACTGAGGTCCAGAAGTAGGACACTGCTGGCCCGCAGAGTCCCACTGGCTTCTGCCCAAGGGCCAGCCCTTCCTCCTCAAGGTGAACTACTCCTGAGCTTTGTGCGGAGCATGTCCTTGCCTTTGTGTTTCTTCACTTTTGCCTTCCAAGCATGCAGCCTTCAAGGCTATATAGTTTAGTTTTGCCTGGTTTGGAATTTTATGTAATTCAGATCACACAGTATGCCATATTAATGTTTGTAATACAGCGATGTCTTATTTAATCTAAATTTCTTGAGGAATAAGGTGTAAGTTTTCCTTCGTTTTGTGTGATTTTAAGCATTTTGGATAGAAATGCCCTAAATTTTATTACGCCCTTCCCTTTGAGAGGAAACAAATGGTCTGTCCTTCTTTGGTGACTGGGTGTCTGTCATTTCCTATGAGCTTAATGTGGCAGATGCCTCCACGTTCTGTGGTGTACAGATTGTTGTGTAGGCACAGGAGTGTCACCTCCTCGCACAGGCCTTCCCTGGCCACCTAAGGGAAAGTAAAAATAACCTGTTGGTCACTCCCATCCACTTCTGTGGCTTTCTTTTCTTTACAGCATTTCTCAGCCTGAATTCCAGTTGTGATGTACATACCTTATTAATATGTTTTATTCACATAAGGATTATTCTTACATGTACTTCAGATGGAAAGTCAACTTTTCCTTAATATTTTACATTTTTCCCCTTTTTATTCTTAAAGGAGGATTCTCTGGATCACATTTCAGACATGGAAGAAGTTTGCAAAATTTATGAAAGAGGAAAGATTAAGAGAAGAAAGGCGAGAGCAACTCCGTAAGAAGGTAGCTGAAATCCTTCCGGACTTCCAGGCGCTGGCCCCACCGTGACTCTGGTTGTCCAGCGTCAGATACCTGCCCTCGTGTAAGAGTCCTTGGTGTCCAGGGAACACAAGCCAGTGCCGTGCGTAGGATGGAGTGCCCATGGCCCATACAGGTCTGTGAGCACCACCCACCCACATGCACAGGCATCTACATGGTTGTTCTGTCAGGTATTCCTTGGATTAAAGGACTTCTTTTTGAGTTTGTACTTCCTTCTTTTATTTCTCTTGGGTTGCTAATCAGTTCACTAAAGCATTTATCCCAGCAGGATCAGCCACAGGAACTGTTCCTGTTCCACTGTTCAAATGCAGCGTCTGTATTTTTAGCATCATAAACTTTAAAAAGGACGTGTTTGCTTGCCTGAGCTTGTGGAGGAAAATGTCCTTATAGCTTAACGTGAGTTGTTAGCAAATGTAACTTTAGTTAAGAAGAAATTAAAAGTAGTGAGCACTTAGAAAAGGAGTCATATGTGGCCAGGCACCTAGTTAGTACCTTAGCATCCGCAACAAGCATTCTGCCGGCCTCTGTCCTTTCTGCCCACCCCTAATGGAAAGCCACGCATCAAAGGTAGTCTTTGCAGTGCTGCAATGGATAACAGCGTATCCTAATTTCAGAGAAAGTGGGGCACCGAACACATTTTTCTTCAGTGCACCTTGATAAGCAGGAAGGGAAGTCCAGCAATTTGTTAAAATATCTGGTCATGCTCCCAATTGCTACCTCTAAATAATATTTGATCTGCTTCTAGACCTCAATTTGATCTATATATCAAGATGTTTATCTTTCATTCAAAGAATGTTTTAATCTTTAAGGTGCTAAATAAAGACATTCCCTTCTGTGAACTGAATTATCTGCTAGAATTTTTTTTTCATTACAAAACACATTTATTACAACAAATTCAAGTAGTAGATAAAAGCACAGAGTAAAATGAGAAAGTCCCTTGCACCCTGAGGTAACTGTTATTTGGTAGGTTGAAAATATGAGTTGGTAAAGTAAAATTCTGTCAACATCTTACTTCTTCGAAGGGATACCTAGCTATAGCTATACCACCTGCAAAATGATTCTGTTCTTCTCTGTGGAAGATGTGTGACTTACTCATCTTAGGGTGTGACAAAACACCCTAAATCAAACTTTATTTCTTCTACAATATCCCTGTCTCCATAGTTATCCTCTAAAAACTTTTTAAGACTGATGGCCACCAAAGAAAATGGGAATAAAAGTAACTCATATTTAATCTCTTTCCATCTAAATCATTGTTTTCTTAACTGTAGTAAGTTATAGAATATTGGCTTATATTAGCACCCAAGCCTATACATAAAGGTGAAGCCCTTAAGTAAGCATGCAAGGTTTCACCCGTACAGCTTAAGTTTTCTCTCTTAAACTCTCTTTTATTTTTATTTCACCTCAAGCATCATTTAGAAATTGAGTCTTTAGCAACTCATATTCTGATTGAGCCAGCAAGAACGTTTTACCTACTTATAGAACCTTCTAAGTAGACACAGGAAAACAAATTAGTAAATGACCTATGTTTCTGGCTGGGCTATCTGTGTGTGTGTGTGTATATAAAACCTGAAACCATGGGTGTGTGCCCTGACTGGGAATTGAACCTACAGCCTTTGGTGTATGAGACAACACTTCAACCAACTGAGCCACACCAGCCAGGCCTTGCTGGGCTATCTTAAAAATATGATTTGAAATTTTACTGCTAACAAAATGCCCAATAAGCAGTATCCCTGGCCTACAAAACTGGAAAAGTAACCACCAGGAATATGATAGTTTTAGGTCCACAGGCTGGGACCTAAAGCTACATGGCAGGCTTCTCTTAAAGCAAAGGAGTTCAGGAGGCACACGAAGAAACACCAACTAGTCTCCTTAAATAAAGCACTTTATTTCCCATTTAAATAACTTGGTCACAAAAAATAATAACTTGGTCACAGTACATTATTTTACATAAATGGCAGTAATTTTTTCAAATCTCCATTTGAAAGGCCTTGTGTCTGAGTCCAAGGTGATAGGATGAAGACAAGGATAAAAACAGTGCAAAATGTGTAGCCCACAGCTTCGAGAGTTGGCTTAAGAAATCCCCTTTAATGTTGCTGGGCAAGTTACATTAAATATTAAGTTTAATATTAAACAAACATACCTGGGTTTCCTTTAGTCGATAACATCAGACCCAGAAACCTAATCAACTGAAAAGGCTCAAAAGCCCTAACTGAAACCGTCACATCACCCGAACCACAGATCACAAAATAACATCAGACTCAGAAACCTAATCAACTGAAAAGGCTCAGAAGCCCTAACAACTGAAACCGTCACATCACCCGAACCACAGATCACAACGAGTTGAGCTTCACGCAAGTTCTATTACCTGCATCTAGTCAGTGACCCCACCTGAAGAAGTGCAGGATTTTATTTGTGTCAGTAACTAGAATAGATCTGGTTTTCAAGCTTTGCCTTTAACGCAGGGGTGGGGAACGTCGTCTGGCCCGGCCGTATAAGGCCTGAGAAATCATTTGGTCTGACCCTGCCAAGGCAACTGCAGGCGGGACTCAAAATTCAATAAATCTAGGAGCTTTTTTCATAGCAACATACACTTATATTAAGTGAATTCTATTAAGCGAATGATGTTATGAATATCCAAATGGCCCTTGGCAGAAAAAAGGTTCCCCACCCCTGCTTTAAAGCGTGAATTTCCTAGAAGTGGAAGGTGACATCAGGAAGACTGGAGTAGTAATGAGTCCCAAGCCCCGCTCGAAAACAGCCACAACCTCTAGGAAATGTGTCTTCATTAAGCACTAGGTCTTTGGCCTGCTGCTGCTGCTGCTGCAGTGAGACACTTAGTGCCCACTGAAGTGGGATAATTGTCCATTAGCAACGGGACCACATTTAGCTGATTGTACAAAAAGTTGCTATTAGTCACAGCAAACATTTACAAGAGCACACTGGATTTTTCTCCAGCATTAAGCCAAGCACAGCTCTCTCCTCGCCCTGCAGCACCTCCGCAATGTTTAATATAAAATGGCACGCTTGTCAAGCTCCTGATGTGAAAACCAGATTCCAAACAGGTGCCTCAAGCAAAAGTCTCTCTCATCCATTGCTTATTTGAGGAAATTCTCTTTTATAAAGCAGGGTACCAATATACGGCTAAAATAAAGTCAAGTCATAAACCTGCTTGCCTAGGTTAGAGAGACCCTTAAACCTAATAAAACATTAATTTTTAAACATCCTAGTTAAAACTGTGCTCCTATGTCATATTTTTGCTTACATTAATTGAGTTTTATCATAAAAGTCTAGTGTCCTACCCAATGGAAATATATGCTATTAAGCAGATGGTCAGTATTACAAAGAACCTTGTGTACATTAATTGAGTTTTATAATAAAAGTCTAGTGTCCTCCTACCCAATGGAAATATACGCTATTAAGCAGATGGTCAGTATTACAAAGAACCTTGTATTTTCTGGCAGTGGAAAATTCTAGTATAGAAAATTTTCTCTTGCTAAAAATATTCGAAGTACCAAGAACTATTGCATAAGAGAAAGTTTGTAGCAGTCTTTCTGCTAGGCAGATGGTACAGTGGAAGACGACAATTACTTCATTCACCGAAGGGAAACATTACTTGGATAGCACAGGTTTACCATATGCTACACAGAGACACATAGGGGACTGAGGTGAGACAAGCGCACAGTGTCCCTGAAACACACTCATGGCTCAATGAGCAGCATCAGAGAAACCTACCCAAGAGGTGTTGTTAACAGTGAGTTAACAACATGCTCTGGGGTGTCACAAGAATCATTTTAAATATTGAAGGACTGCCCGACCAGCATGGCTCAGTGGTTGAGCATCAACCTATGAACCAAGAGTTTCTCATTCGATTCCCAGTCAGGGCACATGCCCGGGTTGCAGGTTCAATCTCCAGTAGGGGATGTGAAAGAGGCAGCCAATCAATGATTCTCTCTCATCATAGATGTTTCTATCTATGTATCTCTCTCCCTTCCTCTCTGAAATCAATAAAAATATTTTTTAAAGAAAAAAATATATTGAAGGATTTTTTTTCCTTTTATGCAATTCTGGCCCTTAACGATTTCTCCGCAGAATCTTTCAAATGGGCTCTTTTCTCTTCCCCAGGAATAGCACATCCGGCATGACAATAATGCTGATTAGAATATAGATCATTTCCTAAGCTCCACATCCAGTGTGTTTATTAACAGAGGCTGAGCATGTGACGGGGAGAGAAGGGGGCCAACCTGTCTGGAATTATGTTGAGGGTGGCTTGCTCCTATGGCCACAAGACTGCTGGTGTATAGGTTTGCAGGCAGTATCCCATGGCCACCGCCACCAAATGTTTCTCTGGGACTCATCTGTTCACAGAGGCTTTGTCCTTTAAAGGGCAAAATCCCTCCAATAGTTTCAGAGGATAAAAAGCGTTAAAAATCTAGGAGTCCAGGCCAACGATGTCCCAAAGCCCACAGAGCACTGCTCATGGAGAGCCGTTTATTTGCTCTCCTTCTGGCACAAATACTTCAGTAGACTTTCACCCCCACAGAACCACTGAGCTTGTCAAAGGTTTGGGCTTTCTTCTGTAAACTGCCAGTCATGACGTTCTCAGGGAATTTAAAACAAGCCTTTTCTTGTGTTTGTTAATCCTCTCGGAGGATATTTTTTCCATTGGTTTTTAGAGAGAGTGGAAGAGACAGAAACATCTATGTGAGAGAGAAACATCAACTGGTTGCCTCCTGTACAACCCTAACCGGATAGAGCCTGCAACCAGAGTATGTGCCATTGACTGGAATCGAGCCTGGGACCCTTCAGTCTGTGGTCCGACGCTCTATCCACTGAGCCAAACCAGCTAGGGAAAAAAAAGCCTTTTAATTTCAATAAGCCAGAACAATACACAAGGAGTCCTTATCCTAGGGAGGGACACTGACTTGCCCCATCCAGGTAACATGGGTATCTACATAATAAACTAGTGGCCTGGTGCACAAAATTCATGCACTGGGGGAGGGGGGTGTCCCTCAGCCCGACCTGCACCCTCTCCAATTTTGGGACCCCTCAGGAGAAAACC